TGGATTGGGCTTTATAATTAAAAGTGAGCCTAGTATGGGTTGGGCCGGTATTACCGTCGGTAAAATACCGTTTAAATACGGTAATTTTCGAAAACGATCAGAAAAGGGCTAAACCATTTTCGTTTTCATTTTCGAATTTTTTTACCGTTTCCATTTCCGTTTTTCCGGTTATCGTTTCCGTTTCTGTTTAGCCTCCAAATCCGAAAAAATTTCGAAAACGATTCCCGGTAATCAGAAATTACCGTTTCCGTTTTCATCCCTACCCATTTTGTAAGAAATTGGGGAAAAACGGGTGCAATCCCACTAACATGAAGCGCAGCAAAGCGGAGAAAGCCCATATGAAGCCCAAATGGGGTTCCATCCCAAAACCAATTGGTGGAAGGAGGAGTAGCTCATTAGACTTATAAAGTAGGTTTATTTTCCATGTATGAACGATGTGGGACAACTCACAAGTGATATTCTAACATACCCCCTCACTTGTGAGTCATTTGGAAGCCCAAGCCCAACTGGGTTGGGTGCCCCAAGCCTACTAGAAGCAGACTCCCATAAACGGGTACGTGGGGAAGCAGACTCTCATAAATGGGTACGGTCATCGCACGGTTCCAATAGAACCTGCTCTGATACCATGTAAGAAACTGGGGAAAAATGGATGCGATCTCACTAAATTGAAGCGCACGGGAAAAACCCATATGAAAGCCAAATGGGTTCCAATATTCTAACACATTTTATATCATAAAACGTGTTCATCACTCAGCAACAAAATTGGCAACTAAAATCATAGCAATTTTTATTTGATTTTTAATAATGAATTTCCGAAATCCACACAATTTATCATATGATCCCTTTTTCCCCATCAGTATTTGAATATAGCGATGATATTAGCAAAAAAAAAAAATCTGGATTTCTTTAGATCCATAGTGAAACCAACGCCGCAGCCATCCCGACTGACACGCCGGAAACCACCGCTCTCCCAGCAGCATTCTCCGACGGCGCCGGCTGAGCATCGTCAACGTCTGCTGGTGCGGCATCAGGCCCCGGTGCAGCAGCAGCAGGGGCGTCAGATGGAGCGGGTGCCTCGGCATCTGCGGAGGGCTCTTCCGCCGGCAAATCGTCCTCGGGGCTTTCGGCCGGTGGGTCAGCCTCAGGCG